GAAAAGAAGGAGGAGGAGGAGGAGGAGGAGAGGAAGAAGTAGAGGTATGGAGGAGGAGGAGGAGGAGGAGGAGGAGAGGAAGAAGTAGAGGTATGGAGGAGGAGGAGGAGGAGGAGGAGTAGAGGTATGGAGGAGGCGGAGGAATAGAAGAGGAAGAAGTAGTAGTAGAGGAAGAAGTAGAAGTATGGAGGAGGAAGAATGGAGGAGGGGGAAGGAGAGGAAGAAGGAGAGGTATGGAGGAAGAAGAGGAGGAGGAATGGAGGAAGAGGAAGGAGAGGAAGAAGTAGAGGTATGGAGGAGGAGGAGGAGGAGGAGGAGGAGAAGTAGAGGTATGGAGGAGGCGGAGGAATAGAAGAGGAAGAAGTAGTAGTAGAGGAAGAAGTAGAAGTATGGAGGAGGAAGAATGGAGGAGGGGGAAGGAGAGGAAGAAGGAGAGGTATGGAGGAAGAAGAGGAGGAGGAATGGAGGAAGAGGAAGGAGAGGAAGAAGTAGAGGTATGGAGGAGGAGGAGGAGCATTACTGAAATGCAACTATACATTGGGCAGCACTAATAGCAATAGCACTTAGACTTATATACCACTCTATAGTGTTTTACAGCCCTCTCTATGGTTTCCAGGGTCAGCCTATTGCCCCCAACAATCTGGATCCTCATTTTACCAACCTCAGAAGGATGGAAGGCTGAGTCAACCCTGAACTGGTCAGGATCGAACTCCTGGCAATGGGCAGAGTTAGCCTGCAAGACTGCACTCTAGCCACTGTTGGCCAGGCCTGTTCTAGAACAACACAAAGTAACCTTCACCAGACCCCGTGCCAAAACAGAAGCCCAGGTCAGATGGGCTAGTTTGCTAGCAAGTAGAACATTTCTTCTAGGACCCAAACACAGCTGGATCTCTCACTGCCGAGGGGATGTTCTAGGACCCTGTTTCCCAAACTCAGCAGTCTCCAGAAGTGTAGACTTCAACTCCCCAAATTCCACAGCCAGCACAACCATTGATGAGAATTCTGGGAGTTGAAGTCTTCACACCTGGAGGTTCCCAAGGCATTTGGACAGGTTGCTTAATTGAAGCATCAGCTATCCGCCTGCAAGGTCCCTTTCCCTTAGGTCTTAGGAGGTGAACTGGTCCTTGATTTAAGCTGCACTGAGTGGATGCCAGGACAGGTGTTAAGGAGAGGCATTACCTGTTTGGATGTTAGCTTGATCAGTGATCCTTCATAACCCTAGAGAAAGAAAACAGTACATTTGTAATATCCATTGCTGGGAAAAGGGGGAAAAAAAGTTAAACTAAGATGCAGTTACTACTCTGACCATATTTCCCCCAGGCACCAGAGGTGGTATTCAACCGGTTCTGACAGGTTCTGGAGAACCAGTAGCAGAAATTTTGAGTAGTTTGAATAGAATAAAATAGAATAAGGAATAGAATAAGAAATAGAATAAGGAATAGAATAGAATAAGGAATAGAATAGAACAGAATAAGGAACAGAATAGAATAAAGAATAGAATAAGGAATAGAATAATAGAATAGAATAAGGAATAAAATAGAATAAGGAATAGAATAGAACAAGGAATAGAATAGAATAAGGAACAGAATAGAATAAAGAATAGAATAAGGAATAGAATAATAGAATAGAATAAGGAATAAAATAGAATAAGGAATAGAATAGAACAAGGAATAGAATAGAACAAGGAATAGAATAGAACAAGGAATAGAATAGAATAAGGAATAGAATAGTGGAATAGAATAGAATAGAATAGAATAAGGAATAAAATAGAATAAGAAATAGAATAGAACAAGGAATAGAATAGAACAAGGAATAGAATAGAATAAGGAATAGAATAGTGGAATAGAATAGAATAGAATAAGGAATAGAATAGAATAAGGAATAGAATAGAATAAGGAATAGAATAGAATAAGGAATAGAATAGAATAAGGAATAGAATAGAATAAGGAATAGA